CTAAGCGGGTTTTCAAATCTCAAACCCTGCATCATCGTGCGACGCCATACAGCCATCGCGACGATGATCGATAATGCTTGATGCACATGAAATCGGAATGCTCAGCAGTCGTCGTACTCAGTGGCAGGTTGGGCAGGCATTACTGGCTCCGTGATATGAAGGCAGTGACAATTGACATCGCCCAAATAACCATACCAGGATTTGCTTTGAAATCGTTACACACATTTAACCTACTAGTCAAACATCCTAACATTAATACACCACTGCTCTTGAATGAAACAGGCCCGAGTCCGAAACTGCTTCTCACAGGGGCGTTTTGCACTCATACAACAGGCTACGGGCCACAGGCTACAGACCTCAACCCTCAAACTGAAGCACGCGTTCTCCCTCCACGGGCCACTTCATCTCATGCATCAAGCACCACACATTGCCGTCATCAAGGCTACAGTGCAGGACCTTCCTCGAGAGGCGACGGGTCGATGTTGGCTCAACTTGATATGCCTGGGTGCATTTCGATGGGGAATTGCATTCGTCTTTGTGTAAACTCTGTTCGTCACGCATTAGATGGCTTTCATTGACCAAGTGGTCGACAGATGCTATTGTGTATTTTCAAAGCTTTCCATTCCTTCGATGGTATTGACGTACTGTCAGTTTGCGCCAAGCAATTGCTCCCCACGACTTCTGTGATGGTGGATCAGTCTGCAACACACAGCACACCCAACAGATGAAGGTGAAAAATACCAATCCCTTTTCATTCGGCACCTTCTCACAGTCTTTTAACTGCTCCCATTCTTTCCTTCCCTCCCCATCCCTTCCGCCTCACATTTCTCTTCTACTCCTTGCTCTACCCACGACGCAAACATGTGCTGGAAATGTATTTATCGCGTGATTGGCAAGAAGGCGGGCCGATTCCTATTGCGCTGGATGATGCTCATAGGCGAAGGCCTGTACTATACAGCTTGTGACCTAGTCCAGTATGGAAAGCGAGCCGAGGCCACGACCTCATGGGTGCCGTCATCGTGCCCTATACGCGAGCCGTACTCGTTCCAGGACCCGCTGTCCCTGTTTCCCCTCAAAGGCGAAACCTCGGCGGACTTGCAACTCCGCCTTCTCCGGAACGAGGGCCTAGACGTGACGCCCGCGGCGCCCCATCGAAGGCCGGAACCGGAGAGCGTTCCCAGCGGCACGGACAAAGGGCAAGCGGACACGCCCGGGTACGTCAAGCAGATGGTGCAGCTCTTCGAGGGCCTGGAGGTGCCCGACGTCGGCGCGAGAAACGCGGACGTGCAGGCGGTAGTGAAGGCGGAGGCGGCGGTGCAGGAAAGTAACATAGAGGGGATTGGATTCGCCAACGCTTGGCTTGGGGACCTTCCGATGCTGCACGGGCCACTGAAGAAGCCCGAGAGCGTGACGGGCGGCGGTTTCCGTAGCATTCGCAAGATGTGGGCGAGGAAGAGAAGGGAGCGGAAGGAGCAGAAGGAGCAGAAGGAGAAGGAGGCGAGCCGCAGGGCGTGGCAGATACGGTGTTGCAACGATCAGGTCAGGATCAGGCAGGGGTTTTACAGAATTGCTGTGCGCGTGTAGAGGGTTCTGCGGTGCGTTGGTGGACGCTGTCCTGTGGCATGGACTGGTTGGGAATGGTGTAGGAATCAGGCGAAGGGGACAGCGCGGGAGAGGTGCCACTCATTCTCACCGGACGGCAAAAGTCGCCGACGACTGTGCGATAGTCGACATCAACAGTGTAATCATAGTGACACTGTTGGCAGCGATGGGGCCGTGTAGGGTGCATTATTGGCAGCGGGATAGCTTGGGGGTGGTGGTCGACACGCAGGCAAGTCTCATAGCTTGTGATGAGAGGACATGAAGGAATGTTGCGACGCCAAGGAATAGCGGAAGCAAGTGGGAAACAGTGCCATGCTGTATCTACAGCGAACGAAACAATGCAGTACGGTATACTATATCATGGCCGAACTGGGAGTAGCCCGTGAACCGCAGAGCTGTGTGACGTCCTCGCTTGGCCACACTGCATAAAAGTAGGCACAAGCATATGATGTGTTGCAGATTCGAGGCACATTAACCCTGGATTCGTCTATAGAGGCCTTTGAGCTGCAACAGCGCTTCGCATGTGCAACGTCATGCGAGCACCATAAGAGTACTGTATCTGTCCAATGTCTTGTATAGTAAGTACCCTTGGGTAAAGTTTCAACTGTGGGCTTCTAATTATTCCTGTCCCTTCAAGCATCACAGGAACAGGTTAAACCACTCAGTGCATGTGAATGGGCGGCCCCGATATAGTTTTGGAAATGGTAGAAGACTACAAGTCTCATATCTGTACTTCAATATAGTCACAATTCAACTCGTAAGCAAGTCACCAATTGTGGGTAGACTTTCAGCAGCTCTGATGATGACCCTGTATGCTTTGTGGACGAATGCGTGCGCATTCATAGTCTCTCTGCAACCTACGCCTTCATCCAAACCAGTCTCACTACAGTTGCACCGCAGCCTGGGATGAATCTACCATCAAATTCTTCTACAGTTCACTAAGCCATGAACGGCAGGTGCAGTGCAGCGTGCCATTGTCTTCGAACACAGGGTTCACCGCCGGAAAAGCTTAAAAGGCAGTCCGAAGTCGCCAGCAGTCTCTCTCCTCCAACACTATCAGCCAACACTATCAGTGAACAAATCCACTTGCACTTCACCATGGACAAGCGCTTCACACTCCGCAGCTTCTTGCTGCTCTTCGTGATCTCCTCAGCCTTCGGGCAGTTCTTCGGTGGCGGCCCCTGCAAGAGCAAAGGGTGCGGGCCTGGAGAATTCATCCCTCTCCCGGCGGACCAGCTGCTGTTTGGAGAAACGTGCAAGAGCAAGGGGTGCGGGATCCTGCGCGGGCCGGCCGGCGACGTGATTTTTGGGGGTAGCTGCAAGAGCAAGGGGTGCGCTGTGCCGTCCGGGTTCGCCATCTCGGGCGTGAGCCCGTCTCCGTCTGCGCGGCGTCCGCGGCGGACGCGGCGGGCGCGGCGGGCGCGGCGGGCGCGTCGGCCGCAAGCGATTTGCTGCACGCCCGACGGGTGCCTGCGCGGCTACCGGGCGCAGTGCATGTCGGGGTCGCTGAGCCCCCGTCTGGCGGGGCTGGGGTACTTCTCGTCGTCGGGGTCGTGCAGCGGGTCGCCTCGCGAGTTCGAGTGCGCGCGGGCCGAGGTGGTGTGCAGCGGCAACCGCGGGCGGTGCGTGTTCAAGCGGTGCGGCGGCGGGCGGGGGGCGGGCGGCGCGCGCGCTCGCCCGCGGCCGAAGTACCGGGGGGGGTACGGCGCGCGCTACGTCAACGCGACCGGGGGCTTCGCGCTGGGCGCGCTGCGCACGGAGAGGCAGGTGGCAGGGTTCTGCAAGAGCAAGGATTGCCCCTTCGGGACGCCCGGGCAGGTGGTGTTTGGCGGGGATTGCAAGAGCAAAGGGTGCGGGGTGGTGGACACGCCGGGCGGGCCGCTCCTGTTTGGGGGCGGATGCAAGAGCAAGGGATGCGCCGTGCCTCCTGGGTTCGAAGTGCTCCGTCGCCGTTGCCCCCTCTGCCGCCTAGAGTGCGGCCGTTCCAGGCGCCCGGACGTGGGCAGTGCTGCTTTGCTAGGCCGTGCAAGACGCAGCGGATCTGTAGGTGCATTTTGTCCCGCCTTTAGGGCAAGGCCCTTGCCGCAAGGCCCTTGCCGCAAGGGTGAGTGTCGGTTTTGGAAGTATGTAGGAGTTCCCTTGCCCGCTGCGTAAAGAAAGTGTTTTGTGAAAGAAGAGTGTGTAGAGGCAAAGTATGTGTGGAGTTTGGCATGGTTTGTTGATGACATGTAGGTTAGTAATGGCAAAACTGGTGACATGATGTGTGTCATGTGGAGGAGGGAACTAGGAAAGTTACAGACTATCAATTGGAGGGATTTGCCATATTGGGAGGAGGTGTGGCAGAGTGCATTGGTGAGGGTGCATTGGTGAGGGTGCATTGGTGGTCAAGGTGGTACGGGTTCTCCCGAACCAGAAGGCGTGATAATATCACACACGTGGACGGGAAATGAGGGTGAATACGGCAGCTAATGAAAAGGCGCCATTACATGGAGCGCAACCAATCACGAAACGTGGCAAAAAAGGCAGAGGACTCGTTTTGTGCAAGTCGTCACAGAGTGTGGGCATCGGCGAATAGCGATCTCCACTTGGCGGGATTCAGAGGGATTCAGGGGGTTTCAGAGGGTTTCAGACGGATTCACAGGGGTTCACATGCCATTCAGATACCTTTCATCGTTGCATTACGGTTTTGCGTCTGTTCGCGCTGTACCCTTAACGGTACTGTGCGCAGCTGTTCTGGTACAGTATCGGGAAGGCCGGGTCAATTGTGCATTGCGTGTTCGAAAAAAGCAGTAATTGTAGAGGCAGGTTATTGAGCAACTTTTCGTGGCCTCCGTCCCTATCCCCTTTCCTTTCCGACAGGAAAGGAAGGTTCTACTCATATACAGTAACAGTGATGTAATTGTGAGCACACTAATGAAAGGTGATAACGGAGGGAGGCGGAAGAAGCAGAGGGCTGGAAAGTGGGCAGTGCACAATTACCGTACATGTACTGTACATGTACGGTACCCTTGCAATACAAGGGTACTTGTATTGCAGATCGGATGTAAACTTTACTTGCAACTGAGGGCCTTTGGAACGGAAACATCCTAAAGCTCACGTCCCTTTACATTACTTGTTTAACCCTGCGCCGCCCCGCTCGCACTTGAGATATGCTGCATCAACCAATCACACCCGCCGCTCGCAGTATCGAGCTCATGGTATGATACCCCTCCCCCTATCCCACCAACCTCCCATTCATCTCATTCCGCAACTATCTTACCTCCATTCCGCTCTTTCCGCCTACCACCGTAACCCTCATTAAAAACCTCTCCCTTCCCCCCCCTCCGCCCACCTCCTCCCTTTCTCCTCGCACCTCCGCCCCCCCCCCATCCGCCCCGCCTTCCCCCCACGCACCCACCATGCTTGCCTTCGCCCCCACCTCCTCGTTCGCCACGGCGAAGCCGTCCCTGGCGACGTCGTTCACGTCTGCCCCGGTCTGCCACCGCCGCGCCGCCACGCACACCGCCCCGACCATGATCCTACGCACGAGCCTGCGCAAGCCGGTGGGCAGCTCCTCCGCCTTCGTGGGCATGGCCTCTGGCTTTGGCGGCGCGGCCGCCATCCTGTCCAAGGCCGACACCTACATGGCCCAGTCCATCCTCATGCAGTACTACAAGGTCGCCAACCCGGCCGGCGTCTACGGCGTCCAGTGCACCGAGGGCGGCTCCAAGCACATGGCCGACTTCTCGCGCATCCGCGCCCTCAACGCCCGCTTCCGCGCGCGCCAGGCCTCCAAGGCACAGGCCTACGCCCGCTTGTTCGAAAACAGGAAGATGGCCATCGTCAGCTCGCACGAATGCCACCACGAGGAGACCCAGTTTTCGCAGTACGCAAACGTCGCCGCTAGCTACAACGTCTCCAGGGCAGAGGCCCTCGGATCGTGCTCGCGCTACGCCACCCCGGAGACCGTCGAAGAGGCCGCCCTGCTGCGCTTCATGGACATTCAGCAGACCACCGCCGCAAACCCCTCGGGCGTGTATAACGTCGCGTGCAACGAGGGCGCCGCAAAGTTCCAGGCGGAGGATTGCCGTGTCGCCGCCCTCAATGCCGCCTACCGCAACGGCCAGAAGTCTGCCGGAAAGCTTCTCCAGGAGAAGTATGACCAGCGCAAGAAGGGCTATGCCGCCACCCACGGATGCAACTATGAGGAGGGGCTTGTCAATAACTACCCCGCTCTTGGCGCCACCTTCCGTCCCAAGACCTATGGCTACTAGCCGCGTCGCTTGGCCATGTTTCCGCGTCCATCACCCGCTAATGCATCACCTGCTTTGTCCTTGCTTTAATTTTGTGTAGATGCTCGCACTACGAGTCGATCATCTTTGCTTCAGCCTCTTCCATTTCGCATAGCCTGTGAGGACCAGTAAAACATGCCTGCGTGACAATATGGAAACTGTGCTTTCGTTATTCTACACGGCTTCGACGCATCATCGCAGAAATGAGGAGCTAGCTTCGCAGACACACAAGCCACTTCTACTCGTTTCGTCTGCGAAAGCGATTTTTTTGCACACTCGCCTGTTTTTTAAAATTTTCTGCCTCTCGCCTTACCGCAGACACTTGAGCTCGAAAAAGAAAAAGGGCTCCTCTGACCTTCTGTTTAACGCATAATACTGTACAGTATTCCAGGAACAAGAGAATCACGCATTTTCGAGCAACCCTAACACCCCCCTGGTCGTGCTCTCAACTTTTTCTTTGTTGGTCACCAGAGCCCGAACCGTTAAACCAACTATTCCGCCGGTGGGCGCACGACCATTGCCGCATCGGCAAGCGTACACTCACACACAATGGCGGAGGCGGTCCCCCCCAAGAAAATTGCGATGACCCTCAACATCAAGGCCGGGATGATCGACAAGTACATCGCGCACCATGCGAACAGCCGGGCCGAAGTGCGGGACGCGCTGCGCGCGGTGGGCATCCGCAACCTGAGCCTGTGGACGTGGGGCGACCGGCTGTTCTACTACGCCGAGTACGTGGGCACGGAGCCGTTCGAGCAGGCGATGGCGCGGTACGCCGACATGCCGGGCGTCAAGGACTGGGAAGAGCTCATGCACCAATACCAGGCCAAGATCCCGGGCTCCGATGGCGACGTGTGGTGGCAGGAGTGCACAAAGGTGTACGAGCAGGCGTAGCGGGAAGCAGAACAAGTCGCGGAATAGTGTAAAAAAAAGAGAGGTCGCGGAAGTGCTTTTCTTTTTACACCTCGGCGGTCAAAAATCTTTGAGCCCTGCGTTCTTAATGGTAACTTGAGCGGCCAGGTACTGCCTTGCTGTCTGTAACATCTTATTCTGCCGTCTAAGTCTCTTGCCAGTATTTCTAATCTGGAGTAAGATTTGCTGCTCCTCGAGCGGCATGTCGAGGACCTGACAAACCGCAAACGAGAAGTCCTCGAGGCGTCGCGGGGACGGCCAGCCGTCCTTGGTGCGAGTCTCAGCGCCTTCAAAGTCGGCGTCGCCGCCGGGAGCCAGGCGACGGATCTCGGGACTGAGATCCAGAACCTTGTCGTAGAGCTTGTTGCTCAGACGCAGGACGTCCTGCAGCACGACCCAGACGTCCTCCATGAGGGCGGACAGGTCCTCGTCCGGCGTTTCGTCATACACGTGCTCGACGACTGCGCGCGTGTACGGCTTCTCCTCGATGATTCTAAGGATGCGAAACCTCTCACGGCCAATATTATTAGTCATGATGCGGCCGTCGGGGAGCGGCTCGAAGCGGGTGAGCTCGGCGGCGCACCCGATGGAGGCCAGGGACGAGGAGTCCGGGTTGTACATGACGATGCCGAAGCGGGAGTCAGTGTCGCGGATGCGGTTGAAGAGCAGGCGATAGCGGAGCTCGAAGACGTGGAGCGGGACGGGTGTGCCGGGGTTGAGCACCATGCGGAGCGGAAAGAGGGGCAGCTCGCGCTGTTCGGGGAGCAGGGGGGCCGGATCTGGGGCCGAGGAGAGGTCGTAGTACTCGACTGGCGGCGCCGGGTCGTCGCTGAAGTCTGGGGCCGGGCCGCCTGGGATCTCGTTCTCTTTCATGCAGGGGTGGCGAATGCGGCGCTTGGTAGCCGGTTGCCGATGGACACGGCGGACATGGTGGCAGAGGGGTTGCACGGTGGGGGACGTAGAGAGGCAGTGGTGGAAGGGGGCGCAGAAGAGGAGGGTCGGCATGGTTGCGGAAGTTGCCGGTGATGGTGATGGAGGGGGGTGGTGGGGGCAGGGGGGGGGGAGGGGGGGGGGGGGAGGGCGAACAGTTAAAAAAAAAAAAATTTTCCTGCCGGGGGGGAAAAGAAGGCTACCGGCTTAACCGGGGAAGGTC